TGGAGCACCACATTAGATCACACAAACCATCATCACTTCGGTAGGTATTTATAAGTCATCCACATGATGAAGATCGTATGTATGTTAAGACAGCACCGTGAGCAATATTTAGTCTATCGCATCAGAAGCACGAGTAACTGTTGATTTCAGGTTCTTTGGTGTACAACACTGCATGCAGCCATGTCACTGCCAGTCCCAAGACGTTTGGCCGCTAAGAGGCAACAAAACGACAGAGGACATCGCGCTTGTTCATGGCACTGAAAACGTTTGGGAAGACTACTCGCTGGCCGCCGCAGGAGCCGCCGGGCGTGTGTGAGCAGCCTGTTTATTCCGATTCGCAGGTTGTTGGAAAACACCCGAAAATTTATGGTACGAATGGTTGTTTCCTTCTCACCAGTGCGTGTCTTCAGCTCAATTGTGGCAGACTGGTACCGCTACCTCACTTATATTTCCATGCCTGGAAAAACGTTGATCTAATAATATTTTAGCTTCATTTATTCATCATAAGCCTGGTGAAAAAATCATTAACACAATATGGTATAAAGGGAAAACAATGCATGGAATGACGACTTCTCCAAACTAGTACGTGTTACTATTGGGGGCAGATATTTAACAAATCATCGTTCGCATGCGAAATTTGCATACATATGAAAACAAACTATGCTCTACCTGCCAGAGTAAAACAATATGTTATTTTGCCCATGCCAGTTTTCTTTGACCAAACGCGGCAAGTTCATTAGCTGCTAACAGAATCAGCTGTGCGTTGTACATTTGCATTGAACTTTGTCAAGGTAAGTCTGTTTTTTTTCTAGAAAATGGTCACCTCTATTTAAAACGCCACAGTATCCAAGTAGGTTAATGACGGCAACTAAAGGCGAATCAGAATGCGGTTTACGTATAAAAATATGTATGATACTCGAAAGAAAAACAAAAGAGGTTATGCGATATATGCAGTTCTTTCATTCTGTAGTTGATACCCAGATACACATAACCATTTGTTTACATTCTGTGCGATATACAAGCGATTGGCAAATTAATTTCACATGAACCCATGTTTACGCAACACCATATTCAAGTTGTGCAGCAGAGAATCTTTCGATATACAAAATTTCATTTTCTTCTTAGTTCTGGCTAATCGACATTACCTGTCCAAATATCGAATCTAAAAATTTAAGCACACTATGTCAGATTTTCTTAATCCTAAGAATGCAAGTCCTGGGTGTCCGAATGCACCGTACAAATGAAAGAATTTTAGCTCATCTGCAATTATGTGTTATTTCAGACTTTGTGCCAAATGGAAGCTTTATTGTTAAGCTTACCCAATTGATGCGAGTGACAATAACTTCCTTGTCGGCCAGTTTCATCAAACCGGCAGTCAATCTAAACTTTTGAAGGTGCAAACTTAACACTAAACGCGTGAAAAGTAGAAATAATTGTTCCTGTTAAGCAGAGTTATGAACCTTTTACTTTGCTTTCTTTGTTTATAGAGTTTTGACAAACCGACGCACATATTTTACGTCCTTTTTATATAGAGAGACTAGTCTCTATAGGTAGTAGTTTGCACATCGTAATAGACAATCAGAATAAAAGGCATTGCAATTGTATGAATATTAAATAGCATGACATTTACGTTTAAATAAGCGGTTCTTCTCGCAGCGTTAAATTAGACTTGAATTAACTAAGTCTCTAAATATAAGTACAAAATAACTGTTTACACTCTACGAAGTTCCAACAACTGATACCATTCATTGTGGTTCCTTTAGCATTCAAATCATGTTCTAACAATGTAAACCTTAGACATGTAACGGCCACGCAAAATAATCATTATTAGCATTTTAGGGGTAATGTACCCGTAGGTCTCCCTTCTACAGCTCAAATAACAGAGTCCACAAGTTTAATTTGCAGTTTTTTTCGAGAACACGATTAACAACGGTGGATTCATCTGCATAATTTATTGTATCATCAAATACGTTAAATTACTTTGTGGTCATAAACACAAAATAATTATAGCAAATTAACAGACATAAATTGCAAGTTGCGTTCGAAGACAATATATACGATACAGACATGTAATCAAACGATTTGTGCTCAGCAAAGAATATAGATTACGCACACTAAGTTGTAAATGGTATTCATCTCAAAATACCATCCGTTAAATTGTGTTCCCTAATATGAGTTATGTAGAAATAATTATTAACAAAATTAAGCATATTTCAACGGGACATATAGTTTGTGATTACGTTCTATTTCTCCTGTGAATGTAGGTAAGTTACCTAAGGTGTACGCCACTCAAATGCTGCTTTTTAACCCCAGAGGTAAAGCGACTTATTCATGGTTTTCAAATTATTGGAGGATGGAACCAGTCATGTTTTGCCATTGCAATCGGGAAAGCCAATGGCGTAAAAGTTTTATAGACCGTGTTTCTGTTAGCTTATCTTTACTACTAATTTATTGAGCATCTCGAGAGCAGATACGATTCATAATAAATAATTGGTTGTAACCATTTTAGTTATTTATAGTACATAGCGTATGTCTAGTGAATGTTTGTTTGGATAGATAACAAATAAACAACGTGTATTTGGCAAGATTTGAATAAATGTTATTCTTGTTTTCATATGTGCTAACACGGTGTATAATTTTGTGCATTGACTTAGTAGGTTAACTGAGCCGTTTCTGTGCGACCAAGCTGAATCGACTCGTATATGTAGCAATAACCCTACCTTATTTTGGCTCTGAATGACAATTGTGTTATTTGCATTAGATGAAAAACTATAAATTCCTGAAGTAAACATACCCAATCAGCTTTAGCGCTGGATGTCCCCGGCTAAACTTTTTATGGGGTTAACCAGTGAAATTTGAATTAAAATAAGCTTTCGTAAAGCCAACTTGACATAAAAGAAAAAACAGAGTATGCATACAATACATTACTTAGTCTGCACGAATTATTTCATGGAATCTAGGAACAAGAATAAAACAAGATATACCCATATATGATCATTACTTTTTGTTTATCAGAAGTTGCTCAGATTTTGACACAGTAAGTGTTAATATTTGAATATTTTAACTCTCGGGATCATTGTGCACTTGGTTATGGAGCGAGAAAAGCTTTTGTTCCGTTTCGACGCTAAAGTATGGTGGCACATTTTCAATTAGACAATTTCAATAGATTATTTGAAGGATGGTTGTGACACTCACTTCATTTCCGTAATATTTCCATGACAGCGCATTTTCTGTTTTATCGGTTTATTGAAGCTATGGTCTGGTGTGTTTGGAGAATAGGATGACAGGCGTACATTTTATCTCAATCTCCGATTCAGCCGCAACATATGCGCTTAATTTATATTTTGACATTTTGTGACTAACAACACGACTTAGTAGACCGTCGACCGGAACTCGCCAAATGGTTAATCAGCGAAATGGGGAAATACTTATGACAAGATAGTAGCGGAAAACTTCACGATGTAAAATACATTGTATCCACCAAACCAACTCCCTTTCTCTCTTGTGTTCATCGGTATATTTCGGATTATTATGCATGGGTCTATTATGTATAATCAAACTTACATTTGCTCACACGTAAAATAAATGACATTAGATGCCAACGTCTCCTTTTTAACGGGTATCACATTATACTTGACGGTCTGCTGAAAACAGATGAACTTAGTTTCGGTGAACAAGTTTGCGACTAAACAAACGGTGTAACTTAATGTTTGTTTCTTATTCAGCGTGAGCCTATAAGATACACCTGACCATGCAGATTAAATTATTTAATTTGACCAAAGAAAATGAGTAATTTAGAGTCAGTTTTCTTGTTATCGGATAGGAAGCAAAACATTGCTCTGGACTCGTTCAAATGCAGCAAACGTGGAATAACTAGTGATAGCGAGAACGTATTTCTGAAATTCAGGGGCTGAACTATAGGGGGTTGTGAGCAAAATGAATACCATTCATTTATATTAATTTAGTTATTATTTAAGTTTATGTTGTTTAATATATCATTTACCTTTCGATGCTTTTCGCGCGTTTATATTTGCCGAATTAGAACAAAGATTTAGATATGGATGCAAGTCAAAAGCAACGGATACATACAGATTAGTGTTATATATTAAACGAAATAAAATAGTTTAACTTGCAATATTTATTCATTTATTTAAAGAAGTATGCATTCATGCCAGTTACTTTAAAGCAAATATTTTGCTCTTTTTTTGATCATATATATATATATATTCTGCCCGTTTATATAAAGAAAATACCGCACAAGCCACATTTTATATATTTCGTGTACTAACACCTATGTGTATTGTAGAGATCCCGTTTGCAAGCACTCTTTCTCAGTATGATTGAACTTTTTACCCCAAACAAAGGAAATTAATCAGAAACGTGCACTTTGACTGTGTTTGCTTTGACACGCATCATGTGATCTGATTATATTTTATATCCTAACCAGTGAATTTAAAAATAGAGCAAAAATAAGGTCACTTAATAGTTTAGGCATACCGAGTGTGTTAAAGTATACATGTCCACACTGCTTTAGAACTTAGGTACAACCATCACTGCACACACTCTGTATAAATATTTATCTGCCTTGTGCGATATCCTGACATTCCTTACTGTGCTTTGTGCAGCGATTACCTACTAGCTGTCGTGGGAATCGCACAATACAAAATGTCAGAGCTTAGCTGTCAACGGTCTTTGGATTTCTGCGCGTCCAACGGACACATCCTACATCCTGTATGTATCAAGCGTTGAAGTAACCTAGTTTTGCTTGCAGCGTCTCCAGTGAGTGCCTTCTTCAATGGCGGTGTTCGATTGCGAACCACTTGTGAAGGCCAGCCTACTGATGTCGCCAACACTGACCTACCCTCATGGTGTAAAATTCACAGTGGACGCACCATAGCGGCTCCACCCCATATGTCTGTCTACACTCGAGCGCAAGCAACCCGATACGAAAGGTTATTGGTAGATGCACGGACAATCATATCGGCTGGGTAGTGTACTAGGCGACTGTACAACCACACAACCCAAGTGGAGGTTTGAAATTGGCAGTCCTGTTAATCTAGATGCACTCTATTTTAACAGTGCGCTTGGAATGGCACTGTGGTCTGTACTATGCAAATTAATATTTTTAAGACTACTTTAACACTTAACAAACATTTCATTTATATCCAACCCATCATTTCAAGTGGATTATAACGGTTTAAATGACAATTGCTGCACTCGCTGAGTAAGTTCCTCTTACGACGTTAGAGATTTCATTCGCTTTATTTTATTTGAACGCACCATATTGCTTTCGTACATTCACAATCAAAGTGGGCATTTAATTCTTCTCTAATTTGCTAACTTCATCCATTTTGCTTATGTGGCCATTAGCATTTTTGTTGAAATATAAATTCCTAAACCTGGTTATCTAAACGGCGGTGTGATTTTGTATATCAACGGTAGTTTTGATAGTAGACTAGTGCTTTTACTGTAGGATATGATTACTGGCAAATATGGATAAGCCAAAGGCAGACAGATACTGCACATCCGGTAAAGCGATAGATGGCCGTTTGGTCCAACTGGGATTCGTCAATAGCGCCTATCCACCGAATTCTGCCAGATTCGATCCAACGACCATACTTTTGCGAGTCAGCGACATATGTCACTGAGCCTCGGGAGATGATAGCAGGCCGCCATGACTAGGGGCATCCCTGTCCACTGCACATTCATGACATGCGAGACAATGGAGGAGGAGCCGCGCTATATCGCAGTTAGATATCAGTCATGTCGGTCCGCTGCCATCGCCCGTGGCTCAGTGACATTATTCGATGACTCGCAAAATTAAGGTAGTGGGATCTAATCAGGCAGGATTAGGCGGGTGCCCACTACTGACGAATCCCAATCGGAGGAATCCACCGTCTAGCATTTCCTGGATGTGTGGTGGCTGCCTGCCTCTGTCTAACTGCGACGAACCAACACGAATACCTAACAAATCCTATAATAAATCCCCTACTAACTACAAAATGTATAAGCCAGTTAAATGACCAACGTGTAGAAACACATTGCACACATTTAGACTGGAAAAACTGTTAAATAAACCTTTAGGGTTTGTTGAGAACCCAAACTAGTTAGCATACGCAATAAGTTAGCCAATATTGAAGGCATTGTCAAACTTCAAACATGCACGTCTGCCTCCGTCATCAATGGTTTGGTGGCACAAGCTTCTGGCAACTGGAAGTTATGCGGTCAAAACCCAACAGTGCTCCGAGGAAGGTGCACTACTGAGGAAACGCAGAAGGTCGAAAAACACTGTCGCTTGCTTTTACAGATGTATGCATTATGGCTGAATGAAAGTGGACTTTGATGAATAATCTGTAAATGAATGCCGAGTGGCTCGTAACACGGACGACGGAAGTTTCCATGGTGTTTAGCGGCAAGGTTGAATAATGAATCCTTATTTACTGAATCTAACACGATATATCAGTGGATTCGGTTACAAATATAAGACCGCACAGCAAATTAGCTGTAAAAACGTATGCAGCTTACTCCTGGCTGGCAAACTGTTTTATGTTGCCGTTAGAGTTTCCAATTAATATGAGGATTTTCTATAATTTTTTTTCTTAAAGCACTAGCAAATTTCGACAATATATGAAAATACCGTGAGTTTCATTTTGCTGTGTTTATTTCTGTGCATCAAATGTGCACAAAAACGCCAAAGTAACTATGTTACCGTTATTAATCCATTAATCATTTACTTGGCAGACTTAACCTGTCTAGCTCTGACGTATATGGTGATTACGGCGGATTTCGTTTCAATGGCATGCAAAACAATAATGGTAGTCCAGAAAAATCAGATATTCGTTCAACGTGAGAATTCACTGGGCTTAAAGTCTTAGTTGATTATATATCTGCCTACGTCTTTTGATCAATATGGAAAGCTAAACCAATTGTGTATTATTTTACCCTAGGCACAGTATAATGTGTTCGTGTAGTCTCAAATATAAAACAATCCAACAAAATAATTTCTCAATGAATTTCCGGCAATGCTGGTTATCAGCAAAGCAAACACTCCCATGTTGATGATGTAAATCAATATCAGAAATCAGTTAAGGGTAAAGAATTCTTTTCGGTAAACTCTCGACAAACCTTAATTTTACAAAACCATGATTTTAGTGGAAGCGTCAACTCCGGCTGGGATTGATTTCTGGACTGTTTGTAGGATCAAAATCGATAACTTAAGAAAGGGATATACATATATATGCATTTATAATACTCAGTAGTCCGAAGTAATTAGGTAGATAAAGTAACTACCAAATAACTAAGTAACAATGTCCGTTGGTTAATGTAGCAGTATCTTTTTAGTACACATAACTCTGGATTCAATAGTGACTGTAGATGGCCTCGGAGTGGGATAAGAGCTGTTTGCGAAATCCTTGGGAGAAATGTTTAGGTAGTGAATAGATCACTCTTAAGTCATTCTCGGAGGATGTATGGCCACATTCATGAAAGTGTTGCATGGCTGAGCTGTCTGAAGATCTATTTTCGCCTTTGCAAAACCATGCCGGGTTGTGTTCACGAATCCTCTGAGATTAACACCTCCTGCGACCAACGTATTGTGCACCACAGGAGCACAATTACTGATAAACAAGCACTGAAAGACTGACGACGGCAGTCTACCCTTCAAGGGTAGGTAAGCAATGGCTTGTGAAATACGATTCTCAGGCAGGTCGCGAAATACGTGTTCTCAATAGCAGTTTCCGGTGTCGGAATTATTTATCAGCTGCAGCATGGCCCTTAAATTATATATGAATTAAAAGCTCTATTTTATGAGCAAAGCTCCTGGGTGACTTTCGATTGCGTTCCTTCAAATGCTCCACGGTAAATTTATCAAGGTAACCATTTTCCCTGAGAGAGGCACTGATCCTCTCTAGTAGATCGATTACGTTATCTAATGTACAAATACTGCGCCCCCTGAAGGCGAGATATTGAATTAAATCACGTTTACGCTGTAGAGGTACTTCGCTGTGGAAGTTAGTTTATTGCACAGTTCATGTGTGCTTTATGTGTAACTTTCTGCTGCATGATCCACCCTAGTTACGCATAACCTCTACTTCTCAGAAAGGTAACCGGTTTCTGAATTTTTGTTCATAATTAATTGGATATTCTCGCGTGAGCCATTAAAATCTTTAAGTAATTGTTCTGAAAGCTTTCGTATTTTCAAAGGTCTCATCAGCATACCGTACGTACATATTGCTTCTACGGAAGCAAGTTGCAAGTTGGCCGTTTTCCAAATACGCCATGGAACCGACAGCCAGAGGTAGACCCAAAGGAGATCCCAGGAGCATTTCGTCAACCTGATCGTACGTTTTACAGTTGGAGGTAAACTGAACATTTCGCTTACAACAAAGTAGCACCTACTATAGCGAATGCTCGGAAAAGTTGTACATATGCGCAGTTACCGAGCCAGCTCACATACGTACTAAAAACCGGATTTGAGACTTTCCTAAAATCAGTGTTATGTAAACTTTTGTTTTGGCTGAGAGTTTATCAGAAAGGATTCTTTTCCCTGAACTAATTTCTGATATTAACTCCTATTAATGTTATATTTTGCATGTAAAATCAAGAGGAATAAAGGAAAACGAGGTTTTGATATTCTAGTAATAAATATTCGTTCCGATTTACAGATTACCAATATATTTTTCCTTTCTGCCCAGTTTGCACAAAAGTGCATTCTTCATATATATATATATATATATATAGGTATATATATATATATAAATTTGGAGTTATGCTTCATCCTGCCTAATGAACTAAAATTTGTTCAAAGCGCTTGATGTTTACGATCCATGATTCCTCCCGTTTGTTGGTTTTTACATATAAAAAGGCATACTTATGGCTCGAATGGTATTATCATATAATTTAACGGTTTTTCAATATTAATCAGAAAGTTACATTCGCTTTAAAATTTGTAGCTATGTTTGAATAAACATTATTCTGAAAAACATGACGTATAATAGGAATCCTGAGGAAGCCAGTAAACACTTAATCAGCCCATTGACAATACTGTGTAGCAACATCAGGCGCTGCAAATTCCCATGATCAGCAAAACTATATGGAGATATTCTAAAATGCAAAATAATGGATAAAATCCTAGGTATTAATAAAATATATGCTAGCCTTATTCCAAATTATGAGTTTGGCCGTGGAAGCAAACGCATTTAGGGAATACGTATTCCGCGATAGATAATTTTCGCATGTGAAGCGTGTCATTATAAATTACGCATGAAAAGCTGACAGAAACCATGGTATATTTACAGACCAGTGACGCGTTTAATCTGCATTTATAAAATAGTACGTATACCTTTGGTATTCCACAGAAACAACCAGCGAAATTTTGTCTTCTTAAAGATGAATTATGAATTCATAATCATGTGCTAATATTTTTACACATGTTCTCAATCATAAGCGTTAACCAGAACGTAGACCTTAGTTGTAGAAAGCCGAACCTTGTTGCATAGTAATAGATTAATTTATAGGTAAACTATTGAAATACATTTTAAGACATCAGCACATAATCCAATGTCGTTACAAAAGTAATGTTAAAGATAAAAATATATTAACATGTTATATTCCTAAATTAGTCATAAAATTCCTTAAACTCTCCAGTGGTATTCATTACCTTAAAATCAGTCGTTATTTCCAATTTTTATTAATGCGCTTATTTGTTTACTTAAAACATTTGAAAGAGTTTTGCAGAAAGTTATGTACTCAAGCCATAGAAAATGAATTTTTATATTTTTCTTGCTCCAAATATGCACTACTTTTTGGAAATTGACAAACAACTAGTTGTATTTTAAACTGGTGATTGTTGTGCTTACATTGAAAGGACTCAAACAAGTAATCCCGTGGGATTAAGACACATTAGGAAATAACAATCCAACCGTATGACATTTGGAAGACTGATTGATTTTTGTGCAAATTACTTCTCACCTCAGGAGCAAAAGAATCAGCTAGTTTGAAGTGTGTCGATTAATGAGAGCAAGGGAGCTGCTTGAGTTTCGTTCATTGAAAAGATGTTCTTTTCCTAAGATTTGCATCAATTAACCGCTTTGTTACGTCAGCGAACAATGTTTTCTAAACTATCATGAAAAAAGCAAACATGGTGTCCAACAAAATGGCGTCTCAAGTAAAACCTTATTTGTATTTTATTTATCCATCTGTTATGTATACCCGTTTTATTGAACA